TTCCTGGATGAACTGCATTAAATGAGTTCTGATTATCTAAAGGGAATTTAGCATGATCATTTTAATCTCAAACAGAAAACTAATTGGATATATTGCATGCAGATGCCACACTAAAAGAGAAATGCAGAACTGACTGATGAAGCATTACATGCATAAAAACTCAATGTAATAGAGACAAGATCCAAAAATTCAAGCAGAAATGTAAATATGGAAAGCTCATAGAGCAGTTGGTCACAAAATAAAGCAAATTCTGCCTCATAACCAGATAGGCAAGTTTTCTGGAAAAGCAGCATTAATAAATAGAAGTAGGTAAAGCATGAGAAACTGTAACATAATTTGCTGCATCTTTGAGAAAAAAAAATCTTCAGTCTATGTAGGGGATATTATGTATGTTAAAGGACACGATGGGGCCAAAAACATTATTTTCAACAGATTTCATTATGTGAGTAGAAAGAAAATGCATTTCTATTTTACACAGTGACTTACGTTTTGTAACGAAGAGTCCAACAAACAGAAGCAGTGCCAGGCAAATAACCCCCAGAATCACTGCAATGATTTTCCATAAAGAAGACGGGGCAGGATGATCTATAGAAAGAGATTAATATACTGTCTGACATCAACCTAAGTGTTTGTCAGAGTTCAACTTTCCTCTTAGATGCAGCTCACACAATAACATCAAGAAAAACAAGGTAATCCACAAAGTCATCATTCAAGTCAAGTGTGTCAGCTGAATTCAAAAGCAGTAAGGTTAACTCGATCCACAGCCGACATCTCCCTGTGTTCACAAACAGACAGAACACACACTTTTCACTTTGTCAAATCAGAGGAGGAAGGAGGCAGTCAAAAAGTCCTGAAGAATTTTAACACTTCAATGACATGAACAAGTTATGAGATTGGAATCTCCTGCTGTTGTAGACGAAGGGGTGTTCATCCCCTTGCCAACAGTATCTGTAGATCTCCACTGGGTGCTCATGAAATTTCAGAAGACCTGAGAGGCCCCCTTCTGCGGCTGCTTCTACAGGAACTGAAGACATTTGTGGGTGTAGTGGGTAAGTCTGGGGACCTTCCATGCTGTGTACAACAAGAGGTTACTGGCTGTCCGGAGGTACAATCATCACGTCCAATGGAGGACTGGATGTCTTGGATTCAGGACCCAGATAAAGATAAGCTGCCTCTGGAGAAGGCATATCAATGTTCCACCCACCTGTTCCTCCTTTCTCTCTAGAAAGAGTTCAGTTCCACTTAGGGGAATCTAGCTTGCCCTGCATCCTGTACTGACACTAAGTGATAGTCATTGTTTGAAAAGAATAAGCAGAAAACCGTTTATGCCTAGGATCCTGATCTGGCAATAGGTTACTCAGCTCAGCTGATGGAGGGAAATCAGCTGATGGACAGAAGAATATGCCTCACACAGGACATCCCCAACACAGTACAGATGCCCCAGGGGAAGGCATGAAACATCAGCCTGTCTGAACATAAACTTTGCACTGAGTAGAACACATTTTTAAAAGATGAATCATTGAAAATCAGATCTAGAAATCAATTTAGTGTAATTCCAGACAGGGGATTTCAAACAACAATGATTGCTAGAAGAATGCATGTAGTGGGAAAGATCGAATTAGCATAAGAACTTGAGACTTTTCAGCAAAGATCTGAGTTGTATAAGGGACAGAAACTGGAAATGTTAGTAAAAGCATGGCATCAGAGAAGAATAGTTCTCGCCACCAGCTCAGTAGGTTCAAAGCAGCTGATAAAAGATCATCACTTTAATATACTCATGGTTTTACCTTTTACGTCTTCCAGCCCTTTGCTCCTAATTTGACACTACAGATATCTTTCTTGTCAATGACTTATATTTGGATTTCTTGAACTTTCATTCTCCAGGGCCCCAAAAAACATCATGTAAACTGTGACTCATAGTATATGAACAATAAAACCTGAAACATAGGGTGAGTGTTTCTAGGCTTTGTGTGTTAAAGTTTAGCTTTTGCTCTGACTGCACAGAAGCTATCCAACCAGCGGAATGACCATCAGACTGGTTTACCAGGCCAACTCTGGCCATTCCTGACTGCTACAAAATTTAAAGAGGCAGAGATGTGGCTATGAAAGGGGTATGAAGATAGGATGGAGAAAACCAGCTAAGCATTGAGTGGAATAATATATGAGAATAGTAGCTCGAAAGAGGTGTGTTCAAAAGCTGATAGCGTGCTCAAGTTCTGATATTTTAAAATGAAAGTTAGTAGGATAATTCCCAAATACCTTTCAGGCAGACTTTAGTGTAAAAGACTGTTAAGAACAGGGCCTTCCCTGCTGGTGTAAGGAGTAAAGTACTGAGCTGTAAGGCTGTCCACCG